TAAATTCTTAACATTTCTTCTAATGTATGATTTATTCTCTCTGTTTGTCCATCTGACTGAGGATGAAAAGCTGTAGACATTGACAACTTAGTACCTAATTGTTGAAAAAGTGTTTTCCAGAAATTGCTGGTAAATTTTGCATCTTGATCTGAAATGATCACTTTGGGTAATCCATGATTTTTAAAAATGACTGAAAAGAAAATTTTTGCAACTTCAGGGGCAGTAATAGTAGTATTAGCTGGATAAAAATGTGCTCGTTTTGTTAATTTGTCAACAAATTCTACAACTGCATCTTTTCCTTGACGTGTTGATGGAAGTTGAGTGATAAAATCCATAGTAACTTGTTCCCATCTTTGGTTTGGAATATATAAAGGTTGCAACAGTCCTGCAGGTGTTTGATTACTACTCTTATTACATTGGCATTCATTACAACTAAGTATATATTTACATATGTCTTTATTCATTTTAGGCCAACAAAAATTTCTCATAACTAATTCACATGTTTTATCAATTCCAAGATGACCAGCAATTTCAACATCATGATGTTCCTTTAAAATTTTTGTTTGTAAGGCTTTGTCAGCTGGGACTGCTAGTCTTTTTCCATATATTAAGTATATTTTACCATTTTGAAGCTCAAAATATTTAGCTCTTGCTTGTTGCTTTGCGTCACTATTTTCTAAATTATTTAAAATATTCCAGATAGGACCAAAATAATTATCATTTAAATAAGCTTCTTTCCAATTAATATGATTGTCCAATTGTGTAGAGATAATTGAAACATTAGCAAGATATGGTAAGCGAGAAAGAGCATCAGCAACTACATTAATCTTGCCTGGACAATATTTTACTTCAAAATCTATTGGTTGCAACAATTCTAACCACCTGGCTTGTCTTCGTGAGAGATTTGTTTGAGGTTTAATGAATTCAAGAGATGCATGATTAGTTATGACTGTAAATTTTTGTCCTTCCAGGTAAGTACGCCACAATTTTATAACATGAACAATAGCTAACAGTTCCTTTTCATGTTTAGGGTAATTTTGTTCAGCATTAGACAATTTATGAGACTCATATGCAACTGGTTGTTCACCCTTCCCTTGATTTTGACTTAATACCGCACCTATTGCAAAATCCGAAGCATCTGTTGTTAGAATGAAAGGCTTTGTTAGGTCGGGTAAAAGCAGAACCGGAGCAGATGTCAACTGGTGTTTGAGTTGATCAAAAGCTTGTTGTTCCTTATCACCCCATTTGAATGATTTTTCCTTTTTTAATAAATCAGTAAGAGATGCAGCTACTGCTGAAAATCCTTTAACAAATTTTCGATAATAACTTGCTAATCCTAAGAAGGATCTAACATCAGATACATTTTTAGGAAGCAATAAAACCAATTTTTATAGTAATAGTAATAGGGCAGAAATTCATAATTTTACTGACATTGATGTCACACCTCTTCAAATAATAATAAAGTTTTTTGTTGTACAACATTTTAATTAGACTGTGCAACAGGGCGCAAAATAGCATAGCGGACATTTGAATTTGTCACATGTGACAAAATCGATTGGTGATCTTTTTTATATTGTGTGACCGTTTGAATTCAATTATTTAAAATAGAAAAACATGGTCGTAAATAACATGATCAAAAATAATTGTAAAACCCAAAAAATACTTTACAATAATATACCTTTTGTTGGAAACTTTATTTTGGTTAAAAATAATCCCGTTAATCCCGCAAACTGCAAGATCTCATTATGAATTAAAGATTTCAAATTTTATATATAAATTTATCAAGGTGCGCAAAAATTTTATTTTTTTATTTTGAAAAAAATAAAAATATACAATTACAAAACATATAATATTTTTAATTATTGATTCAAATGCCTTTGTTTGTTATAGAGAGTGTTTACTAGGATGTTCATTATCAAGAAAAATTAATTAATTATAAAAAAATGAAAAGGAAAGTTTCATTATAGAGGGAAGTTAATTACAAAGAAATGAATGAGAGACAAAAGAGGAGTTCATTATAGAAAGAGTGAACTGTAGACATTATGTGATTTGTTGATTACATGAAAGGTAGTTAGTTGTTTAAATTTATGCATGCAAAAAGATATATATATTATCATTTTTTTTTATTTTTTTTTTATTCTTTTGATTTAATTACAAGACATATACACTGAATACAATTTTTTTATTACTGTACACAGATGTTATATAATTTATTAATTACATGAAAGGATTTCAAAAGTTAGTTGTTCTAAAAAACCTTTAAATTTATACATACATATGTACATACATACATACATACATACATACATACATACATACATACATACATATATATATATATTTGATTTAATTACAAGACATATAATATATATATACTGACTACAGTTTTTTTTATTATTGTACATAGATGTTATATGATTTATTAATTACATGAAAGGATTTCAAAAGGTAGTTGTTCTAAAAACTCTAAATTTATACATGCACACACACATATATATAT